ACACTAAGCTGAATTATATCTTGTTGCTTCTCTGGGGCATTTACATTTTAGTAAAGGACAAAATTAATCCAAAGGAATACTGTAGACTGCAAAAACTTCTGGCCTCGTCTTTCTCTGTCTATGCCCTAGTTGTACGTCCTGATCCTAACCTATGTCTTTTCTTGAAGCTCTCTAGAATATGGATCTTCTGGGCCTGGAATTTTCCAGGCTAGACTTTAGAGCTCAGTTTCCTCATTTATAAAATGAAGAAATAGTATTAGATGACCTCTAAGGTTTCTTCTAGCTTTATATTTACTATGATCCTATGAAAGGCAGAATGTAGAAGGCTCAGTGGGTTTTTCTATCAAGAATTTATATAGTATACAGTTTCTTCAGTTCAGTTCCACTTGGAGACTTAATACAAAGTAATAGCACTTGTTTGCCTCTCTCTCTACTAAAGCATAGGATAATAGATTTACAACTGGAAAAAACTTAATGGTCATCTACCTAACCAACCAATCAATTAATAAGCACATTATACACCTACTATGAACAGGCTAGACATTGGGAATTCAATACAAAGAATGAAACAGTTCCTATTCTCACTCAAGGAGCTTATATTCTACAGGGTGTGAAAAACAAGAATACACACACACACACACACACACACACACATATTTTTTTTCAGTTGTTCAATTGTTTTCAGTTGGGTCCAGCTCTTTGTGACCCAATTTGGGGTTTTCTTGGCAAAAATATTGGAGTGGTTTGCCATTTCCTTCTCTAGCTTATCTTACAGATAAGGAAACTGAGGCAACTAGGATAAGTGACTTGCCTAGGGTCACACAGCTAATAAGTATCTGAGGCCAGATTTGAACTCATGAAAATGAGTCTTCCTGATTCCAAGGCCAGGACTCTATCCACTGTGGCACCTAGCTGCCCCAGCTACCTGTGTAACCTTGGGCATGTCACAACCTCTCTAGGCCTCAGTTTCCTTGTCTATAAACTAAGTGGGGGGGGTCTCCCTGCTGAAAGTTTATGATCTTATGATTTATCTCTTTGACATATGCCAAAAATCAATGTCTAATATACTTAGAAACATGCCATTACCTCTATGGATTTTTCCATGTGTTTTTGGTCAGCTCCTCCTGCTCTTTCCATTTCTGCCCCTTCATCAGTAATACCTGTATGATCTGCCTAAATCTTAAAGACTTTATAAAAGTGAATTATGATTACTATTCATTGCAACCAAATAATAAATCATGTTTATTCAACAAAAATACAGCAAAAAAAAATTGCCAAAAATTGCTTCATTGACATTGTCAAACACTCCTAACAATTGCTCATCCTTCTCTTTTGATGTCAACTACAGTCATTTATTGTGTTTGAATCCGTGGCATAATTGATCCAAAATTAGGCTCCTCTTAGGCATTCTCCCAAAAAGCCAATGCTTTAGAGGCGCTCCTAAGCTCCAGTCCCATTGAAGCTCATCAAACCATGTCATGTAGCAAAATCAGCTTGAGTTATTTGTTGGGAAAAAAGATCAGGAGATGTTAAGATTATGGCCTAGGGGAGGCCTATTGTAAGAGACATGTTTTTTTTGTTTTTGTTTTTTTGTTGTAAGCAGGAAGCAAAGGACATGTTGGGTGGCAGTGTAATTTAGTGTTTAAGATTAGGAAACCACATGAGACCTTGTTTGTTCCTAACCTCGCTGTCAGGAAAAAGAAAAACAGTTAAGCCTAGAAGTGATTTGGGGACTTGGGATGAAAAAAAGCACCAGAAACTAATGGCTTCATCACCCTAGAATTTCTCAGCAGCTACCCATTCACTTATATACAGCTGTAAATATATATGTATATGTCACTCCTGACATCTGTGTTGTTTTTAGGACACCTTTTTCATCTTTGGGCCTCAGTTTCCTCAACTGTAAAATAATCCAGTTGGACTAAATGACCTGAAGGCCATTTCCAGTTCTAAGTCCTATACTCCCTGGTAGAAGTACTTATTGAGCTATAGATATAGATACATGCACATATATGTCAAATACATACGTATGTATTATATATATCCATATATATATACATAGGACCTATGACTTCATCCTTGTAAGCAACTCTCTTTCTTCATTGACACAGATCAGCACCTTACAGTCTCAGAGAGTTTGCCTCGAATATTGAGAAGCTACTCACTTGCCTCACCATCAAAGAACCAGTACATGCAGAAGAGGACTTGAATTAGGGACTCCATGGACAGTTCTTGATCTGCCTCCTCAAATACAGCTCGTAGCCCTAGATCCTTAAACAAAGATTTCAGGCACAAGATAGAGAGGATTCTTTTTGAGATATGGGTTGGGATGAAGGACCTCTGAGATTTGTCCAATTCTGCAATTCTGTTATTCTACAAAATCTCTTTGAAAGGAAAAAAAATAGGCATATACTGAAAAATAATTACATTAAATTATCATATAAAATATCTTTACTGTGTTTTTATATTTCTTTCCAATTCCAATAAAGATATTTTATTCATTTTTATTATTACTGCTCTCCTCATAGTCATCTTTTTCATTCATTCTTTTACTAAGAGCTGATTATGGGCTGTGCTCCTTTTACACAAGCCAAATTATGGGGGGGGGGGCAGCAAGGTGCAGTTTATATTGGTACAAACACAGTACATTTCCATTTCCATGTACCTGTTACCCATTAGACTATCAGCTACTTGAGGGCAGGGAGTACACTTTCACTATCCTTTGAATCTTCTGATATGTCTTTTCTTAATATGCCCAGGACAGTACTCTTCATTGTAAACAATTAGCAACTGAGGAGAAATACATAGGAAAGTGAATCCAAGTAATCCTTCATTCTTGGAGAGATACAGCATAGTAGACATAACTTTCTCTCATCTTTGGTGCATGCAAAAATCATTTCAAAGAGAATTGGGAAGCCAGGATTATATTTTCAGCTCTGCTACTAAGCAGTTTTTCTTGGACAAGTCATTTAACTTCTAGGCACTTCCTTATCTGTATAAGAAGGAAATTGGACTAGGTTATAAGTCTAGAACTAGAAGGGACCTCAGAAGTCTTTCTCATTTTGTAGATAAGGAAACTGAGGCCCGCAGAGGCTAACTGACTTGTTTAGAACAAAGGTTCTCTGACAGCCAGCATTCTTTCCCTCATACCACACTATTCCTCACTCCCACCCAGCTCTGAAATTACGTGATTCCTGTTCAGAAGCAATGGTTTTGTTTCAATTTTTAGTTTATTTTCCAACAATAAGCTACCAAATGATCAGTCAACAAGCATTTACTTAGCACTTTAAATGGCAAAGCACTGTGATTTTTTTCTTCTTTCACAACTTTTATTTATTTTAGACCCCAAACTAAAAGAATATATCCCTTAGCAGACGCTAGATAAAAGGCAATGCCTGTAGTTTGGGGTTTCATGTGTTGTGTGTTTGCAATCCCAGCACCTGGAGCAATGTCTTGCACATATTAGGCACCTAATAAATGCTTGTGAAGTCCGTGGAACTGGATTTGTGCTGCTGATAAACAAACCCAAGCCCAGGAATGGCAGCATTTCCAGCTTCTGCACAATATGTCTGTCTCCATGTCTTCCTTTTTCTGGGGTTCCTGCTCCTTTCCCCCACTATCTTCATCCCTGAAATAAAGCTTCGCCACTCAGGGACAGAACTGACGCCTTAATTTTCCCCCTTTGGCGAGTGTGTTTCACACTCAAACACCAGCACCCCAAAAGACCAGAAGCAGAAGCCTTCGGGATGAAGCAGCGCTCCACTCTGCTCCCCACACTGTCCACAAACGCCTCTAAGTTTCACAGGGTTACAAAGGAAAAGGGAAATGCACTTGATTCCCTCCTTGGGATTCCCTGCCCATTCATCTGGCTAAATCAAAAAAATAATCACAACAACAAAGGGCACAGTGACCCAGCTAGGTTTTCTTTCAAAAGACACACACACACACACACACACACACACACACACACACACACACACACACACACACGAGGGAAGTGTCCTGGCAAACTACGCAGGTCACAACACAAACCACTGAAAGGATATACGCTCTCCTTCTAGTCTTCTGCGCCAGGCACCGAATAGATCCTTTGATTTCACCAGGATTTATGAAAAACATATCTGGAGTGTCAGCCACACGTAGTGCTCCCGGACCCCTCAACCTCAGCACCCGCTTACGTTCCCCAGGATACCTACCTCTCCCAGCTCCCCTCCTCACTAAGCCTAAGCGGCAGGCAGAAAGCGCCATTCAACTTCATTTCCCTGTTACATCTCTAACACGTACGGTCCTCTTCCCTGGCATAACCCCTGGCCTTGACTGCATCGTTAAGACTTCGAGCTCGAGAGGTTCCGGCACCAGGACATTCTTGCAGGCGGCTCTCCCCCGCATCCTGAACCCCCACCTCCCAAATAAAGAAAGCGCGTAGGGGGAGAAGAGAGAAAGGAAATCGTCCCTCTCCAAAATGCCAATGTAACTTTCGGGACGAGCTGCAGCAGAACTTTAAGCGGAAACCACCTGTCGCTACTTAACTTTTCCTGGATTCGCCTCTCTCTGCTCCCGAAAGTACAGCAGTCCCCCTGGGGTTCCCAGATGTCCTCAAAAGTTCTTCTCCGACATTCCTCCCGCTCCCCTTTAGCTACTTCGTCCACTAATGCCAACTAGGAGTCTCTCTAGCTCGCTTGCTCTCCTCTCCCCTCCCCGTTTCCCTTCGTCTCCAGCTGCATGGCTGCCACAGGAAAACCCTTGAATCGCCACCGCATCTTCTCCGCCTCCTTGTATCCCAGGAACAGCCCCCAGCTTTTTCCAGAGGAGAAGACTCCCAAACGTGTCCCGACCACAAGAGAAATAGCAACAACTACCGGAAAAAAAAAATGTAAAAAAAAATCCTCAACCTTCCAGCTCCAAATCCAGGAACAGAGGTACTGGGCAGAATAGAAGGTATTAGAAGAGAGGTTTTCTCAAGGATGTAAAAAGAGCTCGGAGGCGGAGGGAGTACTTACCTTTCCGTGGCTGAAAAGCCTCCTCCAGCCAGGTTCCCTCCTCGCTGGACTTTGCAGCACGCTGTCCCTTCTGGGGCTGCTACCGCCGCTGTCACCGCTGTCAGAATCCAGCGGCGGCGGCGGAACCAAGCCAGCTGTGAAAGCGCTCACGCTGCGCCGCTGTCAGTCTCGTGGCACCGGCTCTGGGCTTTGGAGCAGTAGACGCGACAGGCAAGGCAGGCAGGCAGCTACTGCTGCTGCTGCTGCTGCTCCTGCTCCTCCTCCCCTCTAGCCGCTGCCACTGCTTCTGTCAGTATCCAGGAACAGCGGCACCAGCGCGACCGTGCCGGGCTTGTGCCACGGTCCGGGTCTCACGGCTGCGGTACCGACCGGAGTTTCTGCAGGGCTATGGGGACTGGAATGCACAGAAAGGGCCCGGATGTCTGCGGTCTGCTTGCTTGCTTCCCTCTCTCTTTCTCTGTCTCTCTCTCTCTCTTTCCCTTCCCTCTCCCTTTCTCCTCCCTTCCTCCCTCCCTCCCTCGCGTTCTCTCTCTCCCTGCTCGCCCTTTCACACATGCACTCAGGCTCCTCTGCATCGCTTAATTTATATTTTGACAGAAACTGTTGCTGGGTGGGAAGCTTTGTAGGGGAGGGGGAAGGATTGCGAAAGGCGGGTGAAGGGTGGGCGGGAGTTAGGGGCTGGGGGCGGGTGGGGGGCGACAGGCTTCGGGGAGGGGGGGGAGGCCGAAGGCGGAGAGAGAGACACTATCCGCTCATTGCTCTCTCTCTTTTTTTTCCCTCCTCCAGGATTTAAAGGGACAGTCTTAGGAAGAGGCAAGGGGCGACCCTGCCGTTTCTCCTGGTCTCCAGACGCCATCTGCGGCCAAGCCGGACCCGCCTGGAGACAGAAGAGGAGACTGTGTGCTGAGGGTATTTTTAGGTCAGCACGGCCCAGGACAACATTAAGGAAGAGAGAGCTTGGCTCGGTTGCCCTGAGCTTGGCTATTTTTACAAAGTCCGATTGGGGAAGGAAATAAAACAACTTCTTAGCAACTGGTTTTTTTCCCCTACCAGAAAGTGGGGTGGGAAGGGTGGGGGTGAGAAGTTTCCCAAATATCGCTTAGAATACCGGTGACCGAGAACCATCTTCCAAAACCCGAAAAACCATCTGCTTTTCAAGAGACTCAGGCATAGGGATCCTAAAAGCCTCCAATCTTCCTACCTTTGCCCCTGCCCTTGAATCTTTTTCGGACCTCAAGTTTACCTCAACCTTCCCCCACCCAGTTCCAAAACCAACCAACCAGTTCAGGCTTGGACAATGACAGCTCAATTGCTCGGAGGCGAGTATTTAAAGCATGCCCTCGAAGGTAACCAATCAGCATGACACGTGGGCTCTGGGCCTGGAGAGAGGGAGGAGGAACAGAAGTGAATCCGCTCCGCCCTTACACCCCGCCCCCAGCCCCATGGCCCCTCAGTTCTTGACACACTGAACAACCCCCATGCAACCCCATAAACTAGGAGACTTGATGCACGCCGGGAAAAGGTCCATAGGGAGGAGAAGGGGGCAATTCGTGAAACCCCCCCGCCTCGCAAAAGGGCGGGAGGCAGGCGGAGGCCAAGGAGGGACTACTGTGAATGGACCGCGGAGCGGAGGTGACTGCCGCCTTTGTGACGTCGCTCTGGACGTTTCATCTGGGAATGTCAACCATTCGAATGGAGCCACCCCGGGAAAGAAGACATGGAACAGATTTTCTGCTTATCTTTTTGCAAACCCTACTGTTACTGCAATACTGAGATCCTCCCCTCACGCTGGTATGAGGTTGACAAGTTTCACTAGACCATATATGCCGGTGACTGTTCTCTAAGTCAATCTGTATGTTTATAGCCACCCATACATCTGAGCTTTTCCAAAGGTACACCAGAAAGTTTGCCATTCCTCTATTACAAGTAGAGCGATTCCTCCTAAAAGTATCATTTTAAAGTCCCACCGAATTTTGTAGGAGAGGAGAGGAAAATAAATTAGAATTTCTGCAATCTAGTCTGTTCCTCTAGTAATCCCTTGATCAAGAATTCTGTTTTCTTGAAAAGGAGAAAGGGGAGCAATTCAACGTAGAAGAACGTTTATTAAACACTTACTATATAGGTATTCCTGGTGCAGAATGGAGCAGAATACTAGAACTAGCCATTTACTTAGAAGAGTATAATAATATCATCGGAGAATGATATATTTCATCTGTTTAGAATGATGCTAGCTAAATTAAAGTATCTATGTTATAGTTTTGATTATAGAAACTTAAAGAAGTTTAATCTTGTCATTCATTCTTTGGGTGCCCCGTATGTTCCAGGGCACTTAGCCTTAAATAATTTGTCAAATGACTTGTAGAAGCTGAATTATATTTACTTTCTGGATTTTTTTTTTTGCAAGGGAGATTTTGGAAGGAAAGGGAGAAAGAAAAAAAGGAAGGAAGGAAGGAAGGAAGGAAGGCAGGAAGGAAGGCAGGAAGGAAGGCAGGAAAGAAGGCAGGAAGGAAGGCAGGAAGGCAGGAAGGCAGGAAGGAAGGAAGGAAGGAAGGAAGGAAGGAAGGAAGGAAGGAAGGAAGGAAGGAAGGAAGGAAGGCAGGCAGGAAGGAAGGAAGGAAGGAAGGCAGGAAGGAAGGCAGGCAGGAAGGAAGGAAAGGAAGGCAGGCAGGCAGGCAGGCAGGAAGGAAGGAAGGAAGGAAGGAAGGAAGGAAGGAAGGAAGGAAGGAAGGAAGGAAAGAGAAAAGAAATAGGAGGAACAATTGGATGGACTTGGGAGTTGAAGTTTAGTATAAAAAGAAAATGGCATCCATAGCATTCTGTTGTTGTTCAGTAATGGACTACTCTGACTTCTCAGACCATAGTATGCCACTACGGTCCATCAGATTTTCTTGGCAAGGATACTGAATTCACCTTTTTAACACTCCTGAAGTAGATCAGTATTAGGACCTAATTATCAAATGGATAAAAAAACAAACTTTATTGTAAAATTTCCTTCTCCAATGGATTGACAGAGTTTAAGTGACTTGTAGTGTCTGAGGACAGATTTGAACTCAGGTCTTCCTAACTCCAGGTGAAGTGCTCTATCCACTGAGCCTTACATTTCTTGTATACAGAATTGGGAACAACTTGATCTACTAAACTGAGTTATCTTTGCTCTGAAAACCAATTTGGAATTAAACAAGAAAACAAAACAAGTCAAAAGGACTACCAGCATTAGCACCATACAGCCAGAGTTAAAAGATAGATCCCTATCGTTCTATTAATAATCTATACTTGGACTTTTCTCCCTTGGGAGAATAGGAGGTTGTTCCATGATCATTGAGGAGTATCTGTCAAGTATTATTTCAAGAAAAAACATTTCAATACATTAAAAAATGATAAAATAATTTAATTTTTAAATGAAAATAGGTTACCTCCATCTCTTCTTTTCCTGAAAATCTGTGCAACTGCTGAAGGCATTGCTGAATTAGCAGATGCAATCCTTCCATTCCAGAAGTGTAACTGCTTTTACTTTCCCTGAAGGGATGGGGATAATCTTCATGAATGACTTGAGACTTCAAGTCAGTCTGACAGGGTCGAGGCTGCCCAAGATATTAAGAAAATTGTTCTTTGGCAGGAGGAAAAGCTTCATCCATGGAAAGAATATTTCCCTTATGAAAAGAGAAGACTTGGATTATCAGATCATGTATTCCTTCAAGTCAGAGAGCCTGAGAGTTTAACAAATTTTGCTTATGGTCAAAGCTCAGAGCTGCAGGGCTTTGGACACCTCTGTGTGACCTCAAGTCAAAAAAACCTAGGGCAATACAGTCTCTCTCATGCCATTAGCTCAACTGCTAAAAAAACGGGAAAGGCCAGTATGAAATCAGCAAGAGTCCTAAACTGTAGAATGCTTTTTTTTTTAAAGAAATGCCATTTTGTTACTTTCAGGACAGTACAGTGACCTAAACTAAGCTAATAATGTGTTTCCAGAGTAGGGGTTCAGTGAACCAGCAATAATGAAACTGCAGTAATGAGGTTGACACTCATTTGTAATTAGTTCCCACGTAAATGAGTGTTTCAAAAGTGCTTGAAAACAACAGAGGGGCATAAAAGATACATGGACACGTACGACAGGAAGAGGAGGTGGGCCAGTGGGCCAGAAATGGAGGTACAGTGTGGGATAACAGATGGACAGCTCCCCTGTTACCATGGTGTTCACAAAATAATAGAAGGACCATAAGAAGGCCCCATGCTTCCAGTGGATCCTTTTTGGAGGTTTTCCATAAAGTCCTGAACACGACTTACTCAGGGTAAAAGATTATGGCTGGGTTGCAATCTGCATTAGTAGAGAAAATACCTACACTGATGAATCCTTGGATCTATGCCAGTATCCAAATTAAACATGATGGTATCTTCTGGTCTTATAATATTAATATGCTTTAGCAAACCCTTTTCCACAGCTTCAGTGATCAGAACAGATGAAATTTTACAATAAAGTTTGTTTTTTTATCCATCTGAGAATTAGGTCCTAATACTGATCTACTTCAGGAGTGTTAAAAGGATGAAATCAAGAGGAAAAGCAGAACAGGTCTAAGAAAAAAATCCCTGAGTTAGTCTACAAAGACCTTCCCAGCTCCTTTCACTTTCTCCATTTTCCCCTACCCACAGGTGTGCATAGAGTGCGGCTATCAGTGCCCAGCCCACACTCTGCATCACTATGCCCCTACCCTGCTACACCCTAGCTGTATAAATATGAGAAAATGGCATTTCTCACTGCCTCACTGTCCCTATTCATTAAATGAGAAAAATACTTTAATCCTCTCTTGGTGACAGACAACCAGTTGGGGAATAATTTGTAAAAGTATGAACTTCCTGAAAGAAAAATGTAAGTATACTATTAACTGTAATAATCCTTTTCATTTCTATTGCATTTTACAGCTTACAGGGGTTTTCTTTTTAGTCTTTTTCATTTGATCCTCACTATACCCATGTGACATAAGGAGGATATGTGTTATGATCTCAACTTTGCAGTAAGGAAACAGATTCAGAGGTGAAGTGACTTATCCAGGGTCACGAAGCTCATACCTAGTGGAGCTAGGACTACCAGTGCTCTTCCCATGAATCCATCAATCAGACAATCAATTAATCAAATGTTATTAAATGCTGACATTATGCCCAGGCTCTATGCTAGGACCTAGAGTAACAAAGAAAAGAGTGAAACAGTCTCTGTCCTCAAGGAAGCTACATTCTATTAGGGAAGATAACGTGTGTGTGTATATACACACATTACATATGTGTGTGCATATTTTTATTATATTATTATTATACATACATATACACATACATGAATGCACTGAGCTGGACACCAATATCCACACTATGCACACCTGTGGGTAGGGGAAAATGGAGAAAAGTAAGGGAAGCTGGGAAGGTCTTTGTAGCCTAACTGAAGGGTTTTTCTCAGGCCTATTCTGCTTTTCTTCTTGAAGTCACCCTTTTAACACTCCTGAAGTAGATTAGTGTTAGCACCTAATTCCCAGATGGTTAAAAAAATTTACAG